TTTCAGCTGATCTAAGATAATGAATCATGGAGATTATTAATCGATCAATCGAAATCGATCCTTAAGAATGTATCGCTAAGTAAGAATGGAGTTTTCTCAGTGATGAATTTCATCATGTCGACAAAAAAAACATTCAAGATTTCTCTGAATTGAAGATTTTTCGTGAATATCCGACTCGAGCTTCGCATTGCATTTCGTATTCGAGTAAAACTTGAATACCATCTAGTTTTTTTTACCTTTTTACTTGACGCGTACGCATCTTTTTTGTCATTTTGTGGCGCAATGATCTCGAGAACGAAAACTCATAAAAAAGTCGTTAAAACGTGAAACGAAAGTATTCAGATCGAACTTCTAACATCTTTTTTCGGATCATCAATCTGAAATTCCGTTCACTCACAAATGTAGTTATAAAATGACAAAAAAGCAAAGGAATTTCTCATTTTCAAAGTTCGAAATAATTAAAATGACGTCATCAACAAATGCTAGCCACTAGTTTATTCGCTCACAGCTGATACTAGATATTGAATCATTGAGATAATTAAACGTTGAATCAAAATTCTTTCTTGCAAAACATGTTGCTAAACATACATGAAGTTTTCATAGTGATGCATTTGTTAATGGTTATTTAAGTACGTATATGATTGAATATAATGAATAATATACATAAAACACGAACACAGAGCCATCTAACATAATAGATATCTATTTGTTAATTAAAGAAAATTAAATTTTTGAATTTTCAATAAAGGCTACCAAGTTACATAGTCTCTAATGGATCATGTACATAATGAGATTAAATAGACTTTTGTTTCGTTTTTCCTTTTAAATTTATTAAATGTGTATATTCATATATATTTATAATAGTATTATACTATGTATCTTTTAGAAATTAGTTTTGTATACGTTTTATATATTATAAATGATTAAACACAATTACATTTCGATTTGATTGCTTTTAAATATTTAAAAATTTAAACACAATTATCGAAAATGCTCTATAACATATTTTATTTTGATTCAAGATAATTAATAATATAATCTTTAATAAACGTTTTTTTATAGTTGGCCAAAGTTTTATTTTTATATAAAATTAAAAAAAGCAATATCTATTACTTGATAAATTAAATAATTATATAAATATATTACATCTAATAATATGTTATTCATATATAATAAATTTGACTGTATTGAAAATTTTTAAATGTTTAATAGTTTACGAAAAAAAGAAATAGCAATATTCTGTACTATACAAATTGATGAAATATTTTTAGTAAAATTACACATTGTGATATGGTACCGTTTTTTAAATTAATTTGAGATTATTTCTTGTTTTATTTAAATTAAACTTTATACTTGGCTTGCCATATTTCTTATTTAACTTACATTAAAGTCTAAAGTTGGATTCGCATCAATGAAAAAAAAATATATATTCATTCAGATAAAACTTGTTTTGTCTTTAATGAAATTGATTTTTACTATTTTTAACATATATTTAATGTAATACTTTTTCTTTCTTATATCAAACAAATAATAAAAAAACACTCGTTTCTTTTAAAGATCAAAAGTATTAATATAAAATATAAAATACTTTATCATATAATTAATATTATAATATTCATTGCATTTATTATATATTGTCTCTTTAATTTCTTTTTAAAATAAAAAAAGAATTGGTTGTATAGACGCTATTAACTCGTAATTTTTTCGTCGAATATTATCTTGTTGATTTCCTAACTTACCTTTTAAACTATTTTAGATTAATACAATTCTCATTTTACATATAAACCAAACGACCGATTTTTACTTTTTCTGATAATCAAAACTATATTTAAAAGCCTTTTTACTTGTTATGCTATTACATTTTTTCTTAATTCTTTATTTGTATTTGTTTGTTTAATTGTAGATTCAATTTAATGATAAATCTAATTTCACAATAAAAATTACTTATTAAATAAATTTCTTTACAAAGAAAATCATTAAGTGTTCGATTTTCTAATACTTCTTACTCAGTATCAACTATATGTTCACTAAGTAGTACAGAAGATTTAGCTTGAAAGAAAGACATTTTTTTATTATCTCATCAAGTTACGAGATAATAAATAATTTTAACTAAACAAATTAAGCTGTACTTAGTTAATCTATGTTCTTGATCTCTATGACCAACTGTTAATTTGATTAGGTATTAACATAAGCTTATTTGTAATTTAACTAAAAATGGTTCGTAAAAAATCCGTTGCATCAAAAGCAAAAACAAAAAAGGAATCTAATAAACGACAACAACAAATTCGTTCAAAGATTAGTCGATCGTGGAGAATATTACTCGTAACTGTAAAAGCTATCAAAAAATTTTTAAGTTTTAGACGTATTGTTAAGAATAAAACGGATAGCAAAAAGTGTGTGAATATATCACAAAATGATCTTATTGATTCAAATTGTTTTAATTACAGAAACCATAAAGACATAAAAAGTTCTTTTTATAATACAATGCAACTACCAACGGAAATTGATGATCAAAAAATTATAAAAGACATTCTAAATAAAATTGTGTCAAGAGTGTCTCGTCTACAGAACGAACGCATAAGACAGTGTAAAAACAGAAACAATAAAAAACAAATACAAAACGAAATTAATAATGAAAGCTGTGATGACAATATTAGTGAAAAAAATAATTTGACTAAGAAAAAAGCTTCAAGGAAAATGGTCTTACGTAAAAAACCATCTTCACGTTCAAAAAATTTTTATCAAAACAAATATAAGACTAATATTGCATTTCGTGATAAAGAAAAGAAAAGAATTAACTCATATATTTCAATGAAATACCATACAAGTCTAAATACTTGAGAAAAAATTAAATCACAATCAAAAATTTATTACTTTAACAAATATCACGATAATTCAAATTTTCGAGATAAGGTTAAAACACAATCGAAAATTACTATTTTAAATAAATATCACACTAATTCAAATTTTCGAAATAAGTACAAAGCACGAATGAAAACTGAAGTTTTAAAAAAATACTATACTAATAATTCGATACGATTGAAAATGATTCAAAGTGCATTGAATTCATATCATACTAATAAAACAGTAACAACACAAAAGTCAAGACAACTTTATAATCAACGTAGACGTATCTTAAAAAAATACAGTAACATTGAAAGTCATAAATCTATAATAAAACATAGTAACCTATATATATATAAGTTAAAACAATTTCGAAAAATTATTCAAGAAGGACCTGACTACGTATGCATTTCATGCGCGTTAGCCCTTTTCCGAAATCAAGTAATACCATTTATTAAAGAAAAATATTCAAAAGAAGGTATCTTGAGTCAAATAGAAAAACATATTCAAGTTAATTTTAATAATAATTCTTCGATGCAACAACAATGGATTTGTAGATTATGCTCAGATAAAATGAAGAAACAGCAATTACCTGCTCGAGCAATTTCAAATAAATTGGAAGTTTGTAAAATTCCATCTGAACTAAAAAGATTAAACAATCTTGAAAAACATCTAATTGCTTTACGATTACCATTTATGAAAATCGTAAATTTAACATCCGGAAAACTTTCCAGTAGATTATCACAAAAAGGGACTAAAGGACCACTTCATTGCGTACCGTCAGATGTACAAGAAACTGTAACAACATTGCCTCGTCCAGTTGATAAATCAATGATGGTAAGATTGCAATTGAAACGTAGATTGAAATACAAAGCAATATGGGAAGAGCAATTAATAAATCCAACTGATGTTAGAGATGCGTTATTAATTTTGACAAAAAT